ATGCCTTTACCAGCTGTTTAGTTGAAATTATTGCACCCATGTGCACATGCATGCATATACCCAGACACACATTGTTGCACTTGCATAGTATCACCTGCACAAGGGAAATCAGTGTCAATATAGGATTTTAGAACAATGTGATGCCATATTCAGGGCTGTATACATGGTTCTAATATTGTGGACCAGGTAAATTGTTTCAAAGTGGTTCCAGCCCCAGATTTTGGGAAGTTTCCATTCGTGCTGCTTCAAAACTGGATTGATACAATGTACAAGAACCAGCACATCATACACAGTCTACTAGTTTCCAAGACAAAGTGCAGGGTTGTCTTGTTTTGCCCCAGGACACCTGTCATGTTCCCACTTCTAAGTGTGGGAAGCTACTGTGCCTGACTGAAGATGGGCAAGTTTTCTAATGTATGCTAAAATTCAGGCAATGTACTGTCAACTGTAGAGAAAACAGTTTGCTTTGATTGTTAATCCACTTTCTTTCATGGCCATAGATCAATGTAAAATGGATGCAATCACTTTTAAAATTGCACATGTTTTTTCACCCATGCATATCAGCAGTGAGAGAGAGGCTCAAAAGTATTTTGTGGCATGTGTGAAACAGAAATTAGGATAATTTAAGGAGTGGAGAAAAATGAACTTTGAATTCAGTTGGTCAAGCCATGTGCAAGTGGAAGGAAGGAAGAGAGAAAGAGACAGATGTTCTGTTTAAACTACTTAAATTTTTCCTCAAGGAGGAGGGGGTGTTCTAGGCAAATTCTACGTCGGTTAGTCATAAGCTGATGTTGTTGTTTTTTAAAATAGTCATATCACAAATACGATAGTTCACACAAGAGAAAAGTTTTATCAGAGTTTTATTTTTTCTAACCATAGTTTGATCACAACTAGTGTGGCAAGATGCTCAACAATGCTTCCATAGCTTCTTGAGATGTATACAGGGGGGAAAATATATATCTTTGTAACCTTATTTGCAAGCAGAGATCTGACTAAAAGGCTGTTGTTAATTAAAGTTTGTGCAGAAGCACCAGTCAGTAAGGGCCAGTTGACATGTACATATTCATGACTTGATTACTGCAGGATCAAGCTGTTATTCGCATGTGTGAATGAGCATGTTAAACGCTTCAGATAGATGGCACTTTAGCATTGTCTCAGGCTCAATGCTTTTCAATAGAATCAGGTCAGATATTTTGCTGCAAGTCATTATGATGGGGGGGGGGAACCCTAAGTAATATAAATGTGTATGTGAGCCTGCCATAAGATTCACTGCCTTATGTCTGACAGATAGATATAGATATTAGCATAACTACTTTTCAGAATGTATCCTTAGTTCTATCAGTTTGTCCTCACTTGTATTCTGAATCCAGTTTTATCATCAGTCCTCTCTTCTGAACTCCCTCAAATCTGCACGTGTTCTTCATAAATGAAGAGAAACAAAAATGAACCCAATTTTCCATCTGAATTTGCCCAACTATTTATTTATTTAGACAACTTAAATGATGCCTCTCCAGAGACCTGCTTGATGCAGCTAAGCAGAATCAAGCAGTGGTCTCGCCCCCCCCCCTCCCCGCCTGCCATGGCAGCATCCTGCTTTTTTTAGGCAGCCTGGTTAGGGAACAAACACGGCTTTTTCGCTGTGATGAAACACCAGTAAACCAGGAAGATCCTAAGAAGAAGCCTTTCACCTCCATCTGTCACAGGCACTCAGCTGATCAGGATGGGAAGGGGGAGGGAAGGTTGTCGAGGCCTGAGGGCTCTGCAGCCACTTGCCTGACCTCAAACTGTCTCCCGTCCTGAGAACCCTGGTCTGAACTGGCCTCTTGGTGACTCAGCCAGAGAAGTGGCAGGTAAAGGGATATAAATAGCATCTAGTTTATCAGGGCAGCTGTCTGCCTGAGGCGATTGTCTCCCAGTCAAGATGATTGTTTTCCCTCGTCTCTCAAGGGCCAGGGCTTTAGAAAGAAGGAACATGTGGGGAAGGTGTGACTGGATTTGGCTTTGTATGTGGATTTGGCTTTGTATGTGGATGACAGCATTTGTTTGTGTGTGTGTGTGTGTGTGTTGAAAGCAGACAGAACAGCCCAGCTAGCTTAGCCCAGGTTTGTTGGAGCTTGGGAGCTAAACAGTTGGCCTTGGCCAGTCCTGGGATGAGAGACTACCAAGGAAGATGGGCTGCTATGAAAAGGAAGGCAGTAACAAAACACCTCTGCTCCTGTGGATGGTGTTGCCATGAGTCAGTTGTGACTTGATAGCACTTTCTTCTTCTGTGATGCAAAATATGTAACATTAACTACTGATTTCTGTTGGAATACATCATCATTCACAATTATCCATGAAAGTCCAGGCACAGGTCCCAAAAGGGTTTTCTAAAAAAATTAGTTATCTAGTAATAACTGCAGGAAATTCTGCAGATAAGAGTCCTGAGTGCTCTGTTAATCTATGCCCTGTTTGTTGGCTGTCCATCATGTGAAGGAGGATGCTGGACGAGATGTATGAAGTTCTGCTTAATATACTTGTATATGGCTATGCGGAACAGAAAGGGGCAGCTTGCCTCAAGTGGTTGATTTTGGGATGCTATTCAAGAGTAACACATTTTGAATTGTCTAGTTTTTTATTATATGTTAATCACCATCAGGGGTTCCATGTGGGTTTTCTACCTCAGACACCAGCATAGCTTACACAGTGAAGTGGTTGGGAGCACAGACTAGTGAAGTGATCATAGTTAAATCCAAGGTAGCTTCCAAGCAGCAGACAAGGCCCAGCAAGCCAGGGACAAAGCTGGTAACACCAATTATATTTTTCCTTACTGGTAATCAGGGGTCTTGTTGTAGAAAAAGAGCTGCCGGAGCTCATTAGCATAACTCATTAGCATAACTTATTTGCATATGCCACGCCCCCTGACATCACCGGAAGTGACAGAAGGCCACACCCCCTGACATCACCGGAAGTGTGTCAGAAGGCCCGGCTACTTACCCTCCTGCTTCATCCTCATTCCCAAACGGAATGAGGATCGAAGCAGAGGGCGGGGTAAAGAAGGGGGCGGGGCTTCACCACGTGACTGCCCCGCCCCCTAGAGGTTCTCTTCCGGAGCTCCGTACCTGAGAGCTCCCCCCCGACTAGAGCCCTGCTGGTAATAACAAATGTTCTTAAGCCAGGAGAAATCTCAGTGGTTCACCCCCACATGGCCATCCAATTGCACAGTCACTTTGTGAGGCTTCAGCATGGGCTTTTGCAGGGCTATTTTTGGGCAGGAACGCACAGGAACGAAGTTTCGGCTGGCTCCCGAGTTGGCCACGCCCAGCAGGAACTCATTAGCATAATAGGCCACACCCAACAGCAGAAACGCATTAGGATTGGCTACATTAGGGTTGTGTGGCCTAACATACAAAGGGTTCCTGCTACAAAAAAAAAGCCCTGGGTTTTGACAACAAACAAGGTAAACAGAATAAGAAGCAAAAGGTGGGTGTGGCTGAATGAGCACACTTCTGGTAACGTGGGGGTGTGGCCTAATAGGCTAATGAGCTGCGCTGTCAGGGGTGTGGCCTAATATGCTAATGTGTTTCTGCTGTTGGGTGTGGCCTATTATGCTAATGAGTTCCTGCTGGGCTTTCTCTACAAAAAAAGCCCTGGGCTTTTGTGATTCTGGTGCATGGTTGGTTGTTCTGGGGGGTGTGTGTGTGTTCCAGAATGGGACTCTTCAACAGTTCTGTTCTGCTGAAGAGATGGAAGGGAAGTTTTTATTCTGTGGTGGAGGAAAGTGAGGTTGGGGCTGCTGGGTACTGACAATAGGTTTCTCCACCAGGGCTGTCTGGAGAACTCGAGATCTGCCTCATCTGGTAACAGATTCTTGAAATCACTGGACTGACACCCAACATTGCCTATATTTTCAAAAGATATAATAGCTATTGTGGTGTCTTGCAGTTTTACATAATGCCAAGATAATAGTTTCAGATAAAACAAAACTTCACTATCCCAATAATTAGTCCATTTTCTCCTATGCCAGCCATTGAATCACCATAAGATGCTTCATAAAATGTAGACAAGAACTTTCCTTTTGTCACCTAGTATCTACCCTAAACTTAATAACCCAGGTTAGCCTGATCATGTCAGATCTTGGAAGCTAAGCAGGGTTAGCCCTGATTTGTACTTGGATGAGTGACCACCAAGAAAGTCCAGGGTCGCTACGCAGAGACAGGCAATGGAAAACCACTTCTCAGTGTCCCTACTGGGTTGCTGTAAGTCGGCTACAACTTGACAGCACTTTCCACCACCATCTACTCATCCCACAAACACGTTTAGTGGATTAGAACCTGCCAGTTTATGCCAGTGTACCTTTCATGGTTTCAGTGAGCCCACTTGTGGGATAGCGCGGTATAAATTAAATTATTATTATTAATAATGATGATGATGATGATGATGCTGTATTGTGGTTACAATATTGGCATAAAAAAACCACTAACACACACACACACACACACTATGGCCAGATTGGGTGGCTGCCATGGTGGTCTTACTCTCTCTCCTTTGCAGGCAGCTTGCTCTCCTTCTGGCAGTTGCCTTGCTGCTGTGATGAGAGCACAGAGGCAGTAGAGAAGGGGAGGAGGCACTTGAGAAGACAGCCCCTTTACTTCCATCCCTTGAATGAGAACCACAGCTCAGAAAGACTCACAGATTCACAAATCTCCCAGTTCCTCTGTTTTAAGGTTGGAACTACCTGTCAGCCACAAGCCTTACCAGGCAATGACCTTTCCTGGAACACGGGAAGGGTTCCTCATTGGGGGAGAGCCACAGGTAGCCTGCCAGCCACATGTGGTTCCAAAATCACTATCACTGGAACAGTCACTTGCCTCATTGGAAGATGTCACTTTCCCTTTCTTAGCACAGCAGAGAACTTCAGTTCAGCCACAATGCCCAGGTGTTCCGAAGATGGGATTGGCTCTCATTTATTGTTGAGAAACTTGCTTTTGATTCCCCTGCTTTTGTGCTTCTCTCTCCAGATTTGTCTTCTGTGAGGCATTTCAGCAGCCATGCCCAAAACTACACCACCCTCCTGCTAGAGGATGAGAAGGGAATTCTTTATGTAGGTGCCAGGGGGGCTGTGTTTTCCTTAAATTCCACCAACATTGCTGACGGCTCCCATCAGACGGTAAGTGCAATTGCATTTCACTGACAGACCTAACAGTCATCCCCTTTGTGGTCTTCTTTGTTGAATTTGAGTTCCCAAACGCAGTTAGTAGCATTACACAATACCTAAAAACACCTTAAAGAGAACCCTGTGTACTTTCTGAAATTTGGGAGCATAGGTCACCAGATCTCAATTCCACATGAGACTTAGATGTGGGGACCTCTGTTGTCCAGAAGTCAGGCAAGGAGAAGAGTTTGTTCCTGTAACAGGGAGAGGAGTATGACTATCTAGAGCTGGGGTGTCAAACATGCGGCCTGGGGGCCGGATCAAGACCCCCGGAGGGCTTCCATCAGGCCCTCAGTGGAACTGGCCATCTCCTGCTTCCAGTTCTGCTGCTGCTGCATCATAGCTTGCTTCGCCAGACTCTCTTAATCACTCAGCCATTTCATGTTTTAACCTGGGTCATAGATTCAAAACTCTGAGCATGAGATTTCTGTGGTGAATCTCAATAAATCAAAAGTAGGTTTGCAGCTTACAGAGCTAATGTGTTAAGCATATTTTTATTTTAAGGGGAAAAAATCCGCTACCTAGCACTACATTTTATGACACAAATGGCCCGGAGCAACAAGGTCTCATTTATGTCAGATCTGGCCCTCATATGAGTTTGACACCCCTGATCTAGAGGCTTATGCACTCGCACATCAGTAACATCTGTTCATTTAGGACCTTTATTCCAGCGTGGTCTCTTTCCTGTGCTCTGTGCAGAATGAGAGGGAACACATTTGGCCAGGCAGAAATCCTTCAGTGTCCATGAAAGGCATTTTTATCTCCCTCCCACCTTTGCTTCCACTCACCCTGGAGCTTTCCTTTAGGCTTTTACTTGCAACATCCAAGTTCCAATTTTGGTCAAGGGATTTTAAAAGCTAATGGACCACAAAAATCTGCAGCACTACCCTGGGCTGCACTTCAATAAATCTACTTTTCCTGCAAAAGAAAAACATGAACTTTGAAGAGCCCTTGTGAGCTTCATGGGCTTTGCCTCTTAATGTCACTGCTCAGCCACCATTTCCTTTGTTGGGCCCCCCCAGTGAGTAATGATCCCACTTTTTATTTTGCAGATGGATTGGAAGGCCTCTCCTGAGAAGCAGGCAGAATGCTTGAAAAAGGGCAAGAACAATAAGGTACGTGCAGCCGGAGGCTGTGCCATTTTGCCCCTTTGTCTGTGCTGCTGATCTGTTCATGCCTGTAGTAAACAAATAGCGCACTGTAGAATTCCTTTGCAAACCATATTATCCTTTTCTTTTTGCAGACGGAGTGTTACAATCATGTCAGGCTTTTGCAGCGGCTGAACTCAACCCATCTGTATGTCTGTGGAACATATGCCTTCCACCCCCTCTGCACATACATAGTGAGTAAAAGATGGGGAAAGGTTCACCCTTGTCTGATGGCCCTTTTTGGCTGTGATGTTTATGGAAAGGAGATCGGATCTTAGTTGTTTGCTGCCGGAAGCTGGACTTTGCAGGTCTCAAACTGGCTAATACCTGAGATATCACCTGGAGAAACCATTTCTGCATACAAAACTAGCTAAGAATACACTTTCTATAGATTGGTATGTATCTTGGGCAATAACCCAGTCCCAGATCCTGGCTCCCGTGTTGGTAGCCCTTGCCAAGGAATGCTGGGGTCATAAGGATCAGGAATTATATTGCCTGGCAGAAGGAGAGATGACTCTGGGAAGTCCCCTTTTCCCTCCTGTCCTGTCCAGTACGTTGTCCTCCAGTGCTGGCTGTTTGTTTTCACACAGCATTAAACCTTCCCTTTGATGTCACAATGATGTAGGGGCCTTTTCAGGTAACAGGCAGGGGAGCTCTGCCATGTTTCTCAGCTAGCGCTTTAGTTGCTGAAACATGCTCTTTCCCCTGTATTCCAACTGCAATGTGCTGCAGCTGGTATATCAGCTGTAGAGCTTAGTGCTGTGCAGTGTCACTGGTTATCACTGGCATATGGATTTTTAAAAATTGTCTGAAGATGCCCTCAGCCATAGTGATCTAAAAAGTGGCCAGATTGGCAGCTAAGAAATAAGATGTACTATCAAAGATACATGGTGCTGCCTTTTGGAGTGCTACTCTTGATTCTCTTCTCTACCTCCCTTCTCCTTTCCTTCTTTTTGAGGCATGAGGGTGTGATGAGAACTTGACAAGGAATGTTTGAGTATGTGCGTTAATTTGTAGATGATCCTTTGGCTGGTCACTGTGTTATAAAAAAGATCCATTAGTAAAATGTTAAAAATTAAAAAGCAAAAAACCCTTGGGTGAGGGAAAAGATCTTTTCAGTAATGGTGTCTTCTCCTAGCCCTGGGACTTCAATCTGCTGGTTTTGTGCCTGGAACCTTGTTTGTGTAGGAACACCTAATTCTGAAGATCCAGGGGACTGAACTTTCTCCCCTGCTGTTATCAGTGCTGTCTGTGACTAATTTGAACTTTCCCCCCTTCTATTCAGTAGTGTTTCTTGCATCATATGCTCAGAGTAAACATGCCAAAGTAAAGATGCCAACCCTAATAGCTGCCAGGGTTGCCAGCTGCCTGGAGAAAAAAAACTTCAGCGGCATGTATCCACACGCTAAGCCTCTATTAAAGGGACAGGGCATTTTTCTCAAAGCCAGTTTGCAATCCTAGTAGCTACCCACTGTTACACAGGCCTTTCAAGGACTCCAGCACAGTTTGGATAAAGAACAGAATATGCAGCCTATCCACGTATTGCTTCCAGAGTTTAATTTTTATTTATTTGTTGGGTTTTATCCTATGCTTATCACCGCAAGAGTGGTCCAGGTTGCTTACCCACTCCCAAAGCATGAAAAACACCATTAAAATAAAATAACCACATTTAAAAAACCTCTCAAACAGCAGCTTACTTGCTTTTAATTAGATTTGGAAAGAAAGACTTCACTGGAAAGTCTGTGGTGTTAGGCTCAGGCAAGTTTCCTTGGATATTGCATTCCAAAAAACAAAGGGACCCAGGGCAAGTTCTGCTACACGCCTCAGCTAATCTAACGCAGCATGAGAAGTAGCTTCAACAGACACTATCTAATCAACCTCAGGACTAGCTAGGCTCACACACAGGAACAGGTGCTCCATCAGCCACAACCTGTGATGCAAAGAGCCAGAAGTGAGATACTAAAACTGACAGGCATTCTGTTGGTCTGTTGAGTTAGCTACAATCATCAGCTGACTTCTCTGGATTACCCCATCACTGGGATATTGTAGGCATTGCAAACACCAACTAGAGCAATATCTGGAGACCAGAAGAAGCAAGTAGTGCCTTATAATCTGGATCTGTTCCAGGCTCAGCTCAGTGCAGTCTCTTCTCTTAGAGTCTGATCATCATAATCTTTTGACAAAGATGTAAGATCTCTGCAAGTGGGTAGGTAACAGTTTTGGCAAAGGGTTCTTCCTTCTTCATCAAGAATAAGTCATGCCAGACCAACCTTATCTCCTTTTTTGACAGTTACTAAAATGGTTGACTCTGGCAATGCTGTGGACATAGTGTATCTATTTTTTTTGGCCCCCCCAAAGGGGAATTTTTTTATTGTTGCATTTTCTACACACTACATATATATGGAATGGGGAAAGGAGTACTAATGCCCTATCACTATTACTATGGGAAATGGGTCAGGGAAGTCTAAATAATCTACTGGATAAGAGGAGGGAAAACTACCATTCTATTTTAAATCTCCTACTGGATATGGGGAAGGGGTAAAGACTAATACAAACCACGATCTAAAAAAAGCTTAAAAACAGACCTTTTTAACCTATTAGTACAGGTTATACAGAGATTAGTTTGATTATAAAAAGTATAAAGTTATTAGCTTGGCACAATTACTGCCCTTAGCACTCATGCTTTAGTTTTAGAGTCTTATCTTCTTAGATTTCTTCATTTTCTGCAGTTTGGGAGCGGCCTCTCCTTTCTCCAATTCAGATGATTCTGATGACGAGGAAGTTTGGCTTGTTGAGTCCTGTGAGTAGGACTCCTCATCTTCTTCTTCCTCCGCATCCGTTTTTAAATTCTTTTCCTTCTGCTTCTTTTTTACATTAAGCATTTGATCCATAAATCTTTCTGCTTTTGGAACAGAGTCATTTTTATATTTTTAATCCTGGTAATTAAAACTCAACCCTTCCGGAAATAGCCATCTATACTCTATTCCCTTTTTTTTTTGCAGAGAGAGAGTAAGCATCTTGTATAGTTTCCTCTTTTTTCTTACTTCGAATGGGATGTCTTTCAAAATTTTTATCTCTTCATTCTTGATTTTTAAGGATTCCCCCATTGTTGACTTTAGCACCCGTTCCCTGGTTGATCGTTTCGTGAATTTTAAATAAGTTTCCCCTGGGAGTTTATTTTTCTTTATAAAACCCGGTTAAGTCCTGTACGCCACATCCATTTCTTTGATTAAGTCTTCTTGTTTGTAATCCATTAGTGGGGCCAAGGCAACCGCCAAGAGTTCCTTTAGATCCTCATTCTTATCCTCAGGTATTCCATGGAAATGTAGAACATACATGGATCTTTCCAGCTGGAGCTGTATTAGTTGCGTTTTATCCGAGGATCTCTCCTTCTCTGCTTCATCCACTCTTTTATTAA